CTGACAGATCCCCCCAGGAGCTTCATGCATTAGACTGTTGTCACCACTCCCAATTCTCAAGGGCAGGACCTCCATGCCGCCCTTATTACCTATTTAGAGGCCTGTTCTTCTTACCCCCTTTTTCCCTCCAAAACTCCACTGAAGCCTTGAGTCATTCTAAAAAAAATCAGAGAAGCAAACTTTCTGAGGTTTTAGGATGTTCTCCTATGATACTTTCCGAGAGTTGAGAGATAGGAGGATAAGTTCCTAAATAATAGATTGCTTAAAGAGATTTAAGACTCTAAATACGATGTACAAAAAGAGAATCTTGTGATCTATAGGGAAACAAAAAGAGAAAGAAAGGTTATCCAAAATAACATGATAGTGTTAACTTTATATACCTCTTCAAATTTTTAATATGTATAAAGAGATTCAATATGATTTTGAGAGCATCCAAGCATAGGACCATTCTCTGATGTATTCTTTATCCATCATACACTTTTCAGTGAATCATTTATCCATTTATTTATTCATCTACCAAGTCAAAATACCAGTAATTCCTCAGCACCACCATGTACCTATCCCCTTCATTTATGAAGATCACTTCATAGGTGTCTATCTAGAAATTGAATGAGTTTCTTTGAGAAGCATTCATAAAACACACTAATATTTACAATCAATTTGCAGCCCTTGTATTGCAAGAAAGAGCATGAATATAACAAATTACTTTCTCCCACAAATCATACATATAAATTACAGTAAGCTACTTCCAGCAAAGTGGTTTTTGGGTTTATAATTCCCTGGCCTAAAAAGCATTATTTGCCATTGTAACAGTTTACTTAGTTGAAAATTAACCCACATTTTCCCATTTATACTTTGTCTGCTAAAACAGACCTTAAAAAGTAATTGAAAATGTATGATTCTGAGGGTGGATGTTGATCACAGGGAAGACTGTATGTGGTAGGGATGGGAACAAGGAGTATATTTCTGTACTTTCTGTTCAATTTTCTGTGAATGTAAAACTGCCCTAAAAATAAAATCTACTTAAAAGGAAAAAAAAGTAATTGAGCTTGTTCTAGCTTCCACTTAGGTGGTAGAAAGCCGGAAAGAGCATTGCTTCTGTCTTCAAAGGAAAGAAGGTTTGATAATCTACAAACCCATAACTATTCTTGAATTGGTAAGAGAGCTGAGGTTCCAGAGAAACTAAATAGTATGAAATCTTAGGAAACATAGGTATCTCCAGAGAGCGATGTGAGCTCTGCCTTACCTAGGCCAGTGCATGAGAGGAAACCGGGGCAAGCATAGGAGCTAGTAAGAACTGCTTTACCAAACTGCTGAAGGCTGAGTGTGAGGTACTATGAGTATAGAATGTCTAAGAGCCACAAAATAAATGAGGAGTTTGCATTTATTCTCAAGATTTTCTCCCCAGACTTAGAACAGTCCTCACAGGAATGTTTGGGAGAACACGGAAAACCAGAGGAAGCCCCCTTCATGACGCAGGTGGAGGTGCAGGTGCATCAGCTGCTGTAGGAAGGCAGAAGATGCCCCCCGCCCTACCAAAACTTCAAACCAAAATTCAAAGCTAGCAGAAGACAAGACATCCCACCGTAATCACAGGAGTTCTTGTAAGAGCAGGATATGAGGATCAGGGTCAGAAGACAGAGATGTGGTGATGGAAACAAAGGTCAGAGTTATCGAGAGATTTGCTGTGATGTTGGCCTTAAGATGGAAGGGCCCCGAGCTAAGGAATGGAGGACACCTCAGGGAGCAGGGAAGCAGGAAGATAGATTCTTCCCTAGACCTCCAGAAAGACCCTTGTCAACACCTTGCTTTTTCCCCAGTGAAACCCATTTTAGACCTTGAACTCCATTACTATAAGATAATAATTTCGTATTGTTTTGAGTCACAAAGTTTGTGGTACTTTCTTACAGCAGAAATTGGAAACTGAAGTAGGCTCCCATTCAGCAAACACGGGACAATTTGAAGATCAATAAGGACAATCACTGAAGCCGATTAAGACATATCAAATAAATCTATATCAATGAGATCATAATGATAATAAAAATGACCTCTTATGTTATATTAAAAAATGGCAATGCAAAGAGAAATAATCAAAAATGTATTCTGCCTCTCCCATACCAACTATAGCTAAGGAAGATGAAGGTGAGGGAGAATTTCTATTTACAACTGTATTCCAGACGATGAAGAGAAAGGGATCATAGACTCTCAACATCTTGCAACCCCTAATAAATTAATGGAGCTAGGTCAGTAGTCCTCTGTCAGGAGCAATTTTGGCACTGCCTCGTGGGAAGGGGATTGCTACTGCTTCTTAGGAGGTAGATATCAGGTATGTTGCTAAATATCCTACAATGCATAGGAAAAAGAATTATTCATCCCAAAATGTCAATGTCAATAGACATTTGTCACTCTTGAGAAATCCTGATCTAGGCAATATATAATAACTATAATAATCCCTAGGGGGAGAGAAAGCATTTTTTATCTCTTGCTAGTAGTACATGCAAACATCTATGAAATGCTATTGACAGAGAAAAATAAACTTAAATCTGATCAAGCCTATAGAGCTAATAGAGATAAAGTGGTGAAAGAACATGTAAAATTATAATCCAGGGATGTCATTTAAAAATCCAGACTGCACAGGAAATCCAACCACAGCAAAAAATGCAGTTTTATTAAAAACAAAAATTCCAATGGTTAAAAAAAAGGGTATTGAAGGTGAACCTATAGATTCAAACAATCTTTAGAGATGTAGCAGACAATTGTAATGTATGGGTCTTATTTAGATTCTTATTTGAACAAACTAATTTTTATGCATATTAACAGTAAGCTTTTTGTAAAGGAAAACCTTCAGTGATGTTTTTATGTTATTAACTACTGAATAAGATTTTATTTTCAAATACTTTTCAGTGTCTAACTTTTAGAAACTTTATATTTATGGGTAAATGAACAATAAAGTATAGAATATCTTCTTATTTTTCCCCTTTATCAACAGTATGTTCTTCCCTTCTATTGGGAATGTCTTTCACACAAAGCTATGAATTAGAAATGTGTGCAGCATTCTAAATGATCAGCACTTCTGGATCAAGGTGATCCGACTAATTTAATTTTTGGAGAATTTAATTTACTGAGAAAATTGAACCCTGAAAAAAGGCCTATAAAATGAAAAAAAGATAAAAATAGAAATTTAATAGATGTAATATGAGGCTATAATAGTCTATTTCTACATACCTAATGCCCACTCTCAGTATTTCTGCTTCCTGGGAATGAAGATTGAGATAATCTCTGAGGTAAAGAATGCAAACATGCTAAGATACTGTTTGTGGGCAAAGGATCACGATATGGTTGATGGAGAAATGTCACAAACACTGTGGCCACATGACTAGTCACAGAAATGAGGATATAGCATCTTCACATATTTTCCTCCTTTTGTATCATGTGTATATTTGTGTTTTTAATTAACTTTATTCTTATCTTTTTCATACCATTTTACATAGGTGTGTTCATGGTGGTAAATTTCCAATTTAGTACACAATTTACAGAATATTCAGACAGGATTATAACATTTTAGAAGAGGAATGAGATTCATCTGGAAATTCCAATCTGAGAGATGAAGTGTTTTATCTAAAATCTCTTTTAAACAACATGACTTTACTTTTCTCTTCCCCATTGCTCCTACCTTAACTCAGACCCTCCTAAAGCCCCAGCAGCATTATTGGAGCAGCCACCCAGCTGGTCTTCTTGCCTCTAATCTTTTCTTTTATTATGTCACACCACAGTGACATTTCAAAAATATTCATTTTTTCAAGTCATAATCCTACTAAAAAAATCTTTACTGACCCCCATTTCTATCAGGATAAAGTTAAAAGATAACTGCACATTCAATGCCCCCTAGATATTATGGTGTCTACCCACTTGCTTTATTTTTACCACTCCCTCACTCTGCCCTGACATTGAGCTTCAACATTTTTTGGACTCTCATGCTTGCCTCAATCTGTACAACTTTGTACAAGTTGTTCCTTGTATGGCTTTCTTGTCATTTGGACAAGATATTTCTGGTCTCAACCCAAAGGACTTTTCATAGGAAGCCTTCTGCAATCATCTCCAACGAGATTACTCTCACTGTAACACTTACCACAATCCATTATAATTGCTTCATCATCTGTTATCCCTACTATGTGAGCATATTCTTGTCGGGACTGTATCAAGTTGACTATTGTGTCCCACAACCATTCATTGACACTGACACATAATAGACACTTCATTGGCAGTGCTCAAATTAACACCAATAGAAATTTAGTTCACTAGCATTAACATTTTGTGATGCCTCTCTATCTTGCAAAATTTAGAATTATGTTACTATTAAGATAAAATTCAAATGCAAAATGGGCTTTGTATTATATGAGTCATGAACTCTGTTTGAATCCTCAGGTCCTGTGATAATTGTGTTGACTAACACAAAAACTGCAAATCAACTGACTTAAAGAAGAGACAAAAGGAAGAAAGGACTTAAAATCCTTCAAGGGAGTGAGAAGACCAGCTATTATCATATTCTTTCACCTCTTTCCCCTCCGTATCCCTTGTTCAGTTATTTCTTCCCTTTCTTTTGTATTGTTTAGGCTTTTCTTCAGAGGTGAGGTATACACTCAGACAAGCCCAAGCCACCAGATTCACAGAGGTTTGCTATGCCTGTGAGGAGGGACAAGAGAAGTCCTAGTGGGAGACTTGAGGCTAACATTTGCACAGCCGGGTAACCTCTCCAGATGCCCTCAAATCCACAATGCAATTGTCTTAGCTTTTACTCGCTTTGGCTGGAGTCTGCCCTTTCTTAGATTAATTAAGTCTTTGATATTTTATATATTATCTCACAATTCATGGGCTAATTTTGTTTCTAAAGATTCAGAGAAAGAGTTTATGCAATTTTTCAGAAATTGGACAATTTTAACATTTTAAATGATACCCCTTATATAGGCAGTAAAATTCCTCTGAAACTGAATATTGTCATGTAGTGTGTGAAACTTAACTTTCTCTGGCCAATATTAGTCTTCAGTACAAACAACCATTAATTGTAATACTATTCAGATAAAAACAAGTCCTTTAATTGATATTTCTCCATTGAATTACAACCAGCACTCAGAGAAAGACATTATGTCCATATTCAGTAGGCCTCTCGCAAAAACATCTTACTCAGCCTTGACAACAACGCTCTTCTTAGAGTGTTGACTCACACAATTATGCATATGGCTTCATACTACACATGATATTTTAAGTAGTCTTAAATGTTAAAATACATTTTGTTCCCAATAGAAACAGCAGACATCTTTTTTAAAATGTGTATGCCTAAGAACCAGTGGTCCAGGTAAAATCCATAAATAGGTCAATGATTACAAACAATGTGACAAACCAAAACAGTAAGTAATATATTTTGTTCAATTATTGGCAGGCCATAAAATAGGAGATTAAGTAAGTGTGGGAAGTTCATTTACAGCAGTATTTAGCGTCATTGAACATGCTGCTGTGACATACAAATACCCCCACATCCCATACCCTAACACCACCACTCAGCCTCCTACGTAGCGTCAGCTGCACACGGCATGCCATCTCCTCCTTGGTTGCCAGGGCAATGTGGTTCATGCCTGTCACATCTGAGTTGAGTGGAGAACACTGAGGCAAAGCTCTTTCTCTCAGTGATGTTCATGAGTCATCAAGCTGCCAGTTTTGATGTTAACCCAGAGAATTTCCCTAATAGTTTCTGCCATGCCCCCTTCACCTCTTTATTCCTTAGACTGTAAATCATGGGATTCAGCATGGGTGTCAAAATGGCATAGAACAGAGAGATCAGCTTCTCCTGAAGGACAGAGGGACTGGAGTGGGGCTGGATGTAAGTGAAAATGGCCATGCCATAGCACAGGGCAACCACCGTGAGGTGAGAGGCACATGTGTGGAAGGCTTTCTTCCTTCCCTCTGTGGACTGGATCTTCAGGATGGTGGAGATGATCCGGATGTAGGACAAAAGAACCAGGCAGAAGGGTGTCATCAGAAGGACAATGCTAGAGACCATGATGGCAACCTCATTGGAGGAGGTGTCCACACAAGCCAGCCTGACCACAGCGAGGAGCTCACAGGATATGTGATCAATAAACTTGTTGGTGCACATGGGCAGCTGAAAGGTAATACCAGTCTGCATGAGAGAGTTGATGGAGCCACTGACCCAGGATGTGACGGCCAACCTAGTACACAGCCCTCCATGCATGACGGCCGAGTATCTCAGGGGGTCACACACAGCCACATAGCGGTCATAGGCCATCACTGCCAGGAGAACAAACTCAATCCCGCCCAATGCCAGGGAGAAAAATAACTGGGCTGCACAGCTCAGGAGTGGGATGGCTTTATGTTCTGTAAGAAAATGCACCAGCATCTGAGGGACTATGCTTGTGGCATAGGAGGCATCAACAAGGGAGAGGTTGGTGAGAAAGAAATACATGGGAGTGTGGAGTCGGCTGTCCAGTCTGATCAGGAGAACAATGAGAAAGTTCCCCAGCACTGTCACCAGGTACATGACCAAGAACAGGACAAAGAGGGCCACCTGAGTGTCCCAGTCACTGGACAGGCCAAGGAGAATAAATTCTTTCACCCATGTCTGGTTAACTGTTTCCATTAAGAAACGTGAGGACTATTAATCTGCAGAGAGAGTCAGGAAAACACAGAATCTAATGAATAACCATAAGAATAACTTTTTTGGATGCACACTGCATGCCAGCCAGCCTTAGGGAAACCTTTCAGACCACTTATTGACCAAGATGATAGCGCTGATCCAATATGCAATATATCTACGTTGCCTCAGAGAGAGTCTATTGCAGTCAGGAGGCACAATGTGGTGTCAGGGAGGTCAGTTATTGCCTGGAGACAATGAATGTAATTTTAGGAGTTCTACATTCTTACCAACTTACCTCAGATTCCAGGGCAAGGAGAGAATAGTGTGTGACAACGGCAGGTAAAATGATAAGCAATGAAGAAGAATGTGGTTGGGAAGTTCAAGAATTACCTTAAATATGTCAACCTAAGAGCCATCCTGAAGAAATAGTTAAATCTATACAAATTTATGGTTTTCTTCATATTTTCATAATGCTCTGTGGCTCTTGACCTCCAAGAAAGCAAAATAAGAAAGTATGTGTGTAAACTAGACCTTCTAAATGAAAGGGAGAGAGAGAAAACGCAGATTTTTAGGCAGCAGAGGTTATGAATTCACCACAGATGCACATTGGAATGGACATCTTTTATTTTACTTTGCTCAGCAGGTGCTTCTTACAAGTAAACCCATATGTTAATAGTGTAGTTAACATTAAACAAAAAGGTTGCATTGAAAACGTTTTAGACCTGACCATTCTATTAGCTGCCAGTTCCCAAGCTTCCTTTGTACTGCCGCGCACCAGCAACACCGGGGAGTAGGTGAGAAAGGAGCAGGAAAGGGACCCGAGGGACTGGGTCAGAAACAGAGGTTCTTCATAAGACTAGGGTCTCCTGAAGCGAAAGATCGTCAGACTCCCACTCCCTTCACGATAAAGGACAGAACACAGACTTCCAGAAATGCCCATTCCTCAGGCTTCAGAACAAGACACTGACACGCTCTTTCTAAACGCCCCTAACGTCCTCTCACACTGCCTCTCCCTAGCACTTCCTCCCTCTCGCTCTGTCGTCTGCCCACTCCGCCCCTCCAGGGAGCTTCTCTACAATCATAGTCACGGCCCTGAGAGAACATCTGCTCAAAAAACCACTCAAATTTAATCCAAACCTCAAAATTTCATTTAAAAAACTTGTCAAACTAATTGTTTGAATAGACACGCCAGATTCTGCATCCTGATTAGATTGTTTTCCATAATTTGGCAAACCATCTATGAAAAAGAAATGCTGTTTAGCTAGATGTGATTCAGGGTAAGTACTATACGCCTTTGCTCATGAGCTGCCACCATAAAGGCAGAGAAAAAGACCAGGGAAGGTGTTACAAGTCATCTGATCTCTGCTGGCACTGGGCCAGGGGCCTGGGGAGCGTGTAAGCCACAACTCGCTACCCACCCCCACACAATCTCCCACCTACAGCCCTGCTCATCAGAAATGAGCGACAGTGGTCACATCCTAGGAAAAAACATCAGCTTGGAGGCCAAAACAGCCTCCTGCTGTGGAATCCACATCTGTTTGCTTCTGAGAGCTGGAGCAAGCTGCTTTGTGGTCCAATGAGCCCGTATTTCTTCAACCGTAGAAATCTGCAGAACACTTGCTAAATGAAAAAGAATTCGTTTGATGAAATTCAAGGAGGCAAAAGACTGAAGTTCCTATGGAGTGCCTGAGCAGACCAGAGCATTATTACGTGAGATGATAGTCTTGATTATATGCTCTGATCTCTATTAGGGTCTTTCTTTCCTTATTATCGTCCCTCTCCTCTATTTTTTACTTCAGCATATTATGGGGTATTTATCGTCCCTCTACTACTCAGGATTTTTTTTCTTTTGCTCCTGAGTGGCTACCTCTCCCTCATTTTAAACATATAGGAACAGACCTCTCAATGGGGGATAATCTTTGCCTATATACCTCACCCATTCGAAGTCTTTCTTCATCACATTTCAAATGAATTGGGTCCATTTCTGATCCATTTTCTTAATACCACTCTCAAGCACGGAAATGTTCATCATCTGAAGCTAAATTGCAAACTGAAAGGTTACTGAAAACCTCTTATCATTAAACCAGAATTTTAGTTTTTTATTCATCTTTTGGCAATGTAATATTTGTTCCTTCAATTTCAACTCTTTGTCATACACATCTGTCATCATTTTCATCCATTTCTAATGTTCCTTAATCTGTATCTTAGGTAACCTTTCTTAAATTTTCCTGTTCCATTTGCTGTGAGCAACTAAAGGTTTCTGTGCTCATAACTTGTACCTTCTTTCTACAATTTCTTCTGAAAGTTATCTAACTACCAGTAACTATTATATTATGTATTTATGTGACTCATCTCTCAATTCTAATTTACTCCTCTCTCTAAAGGTTTCAGATGCTTTATAAATGGCTTAAGAATACTTCTGAAATATCTCACCATGAACTGTTACTTCCTCTCTTCAAAACTAGATCCTTGAAATTTTTACTCCTCTCAATGGAAATAGAATTCTCCTATCTCCCAGTGAATCACATTTGATTTTCCTATGCTTCACCACCTACAGAATCACATTTCTTTCATTTATATTATTATGTACAATCCGCCAATTTTCTCCTTACTCTCACTACACTTACCCTTGCCGCTATCATTCATTTAACGAGTGCAACGAGGTTCTTGTAAATTTCCCTAATGTAATCTTAACTCATCCAAAAATCCTAATACCTCTATCAAAACCAGCAAAATACAAATTTTTGCATTTTTTTCATCTTTCTTAATTTCAGTAATACTTATGCCATATCTTATATAATCACAGTGTCTTTCAGAATTACTTTATCCCTGGGCAGAAGAGTTTTACTAATTCCATAATCTGATCATCTCTATTAACTACTTTATTAACTGTAGCCATTCTTATTTCATGTCTGTATAAGTTACGCAAAGCCTTTCATTAAATCTGGCTGCTTAATAGCTTAAATACCTTCTACTGGATAATGCTAGCTGATTGTTTCAACGCATCAAGTGGCTATGTATTTCCAAAGGTCATGCCTTGCGCTTTAAAAATTTAATACAATACAATATATCTTATGCATATAGCTTAGACTCAAAGTTAGATAAAAGAAACACGAACATATCTCTGTGTTGGAAAAGTCAAAAGATGGAGAACATATATAGGCAGATGATTTTAACAACACCTTTCAGTTAATTCCATCCCAATATTACTTGGGTTCACCTCCAGGCTAATATAACTGGGTCTATTCTTATTCTGATGGTGAATTAGTAGGTGCCAGATATATGCTTCGTATCTAACCCACTC